ATTACTTATTGTGTCTGGGGAAAATGTGGTTGACACAGCAACAAAACTTCTTCTTACTTTTATATACACTACTAGAATGTATATTCTCCAAAAGACAATATGAAAAGCGCTGAATCAATCCAAATTTACCTTGATCGATGGCTGTTTAACATCATGCATATTCATGACAAAAAGATGAGATTTTGATGTACCTTACGGAAATAAGGAGGTGTGGTATGATTGTTAATGAGGACAACTACCCAATAAAGACCAAATCATTGTTCTTGATTAAGCTATTTTTTGTTGAAAAGTTTAATGGAATAGATATTGTTTAATCAAAATTTACTTCTGGAAAAAAAAAAAAACGGTAGACCAATTCTATCCGTGTAACTTGGAAAGGTCTCATCCTAATAACATCATAATAAACCAAGAGATTTCCAGGGAAATTTTGTAAAACATTCCAAGTTTTGTCAAACTTCGTAGTAATTTACAGGTTCACATCCCGGGAACATATATACACTGTTTTACTGTTGTAGAAACCACATGTTGACCTCCAAATGCATTATCTGTATAGTTCTGTTTTGCTGTCTTTTTATATACATATATTTACTGAATGATTTCTTGTATTCACATTTTGGTGGAAAGCAATGAATTTTTATCTAGCCAGCAAATTTCTCACCAAAAAAGGAAAGCTTCCTTTTACTTGTTTGGGTTCCAATTCATCTTTATTTTATGATCAAATCAATTTAAAAACTTTTTAAGGGTTTTTTTTTTTTATATAAAAGGTGGCTATTGATTTTGATGGTGGTTTTTGTCGACCGGATTTTGTAAAAGAGGTAAAATATATATTAGTTCCCCTTAGTTTTGAAGCATATTGTCCTTTTCAGTATTTTCAGGATTTTTCATTGATTTTCTGTCAAACCATCAGTTATGGAGAAACCATGACATCATTTGATTTTACGTCTGGCTTTCGAAAGTGTTGGCGTTGCTCAGTATCAAGTTTTCTATGTAGTGCTTTGTAATTTGTTTTCTGTGTCTATCAATTTATTAATATGACTGCTCCTTGGTATCTTTTTACTCGTTTTGGTCACCAACTCAATATCGGAAAAGGGATTAAATGATCAATACATATATGTAAGGAATAATTCGCTGCTGTTTGTTTAACCATTAGGTTTTAATTGCGTATATTACATTGGTTGCAATGACATATCGTAATTTTCCAGTAAAATAACAACGTGAAAATAAACCCGATTAAATAGTCCACGATCAATGTAATAAAAAAGTTAACTAATCCAAGAATTCAAATATCGAAAAATATTCACCCTGTTACCTGGGACATATAATTTATTGAGTTAGTTACTATTCCCAGTCGTATTCGAACAGCATTGATAATTAACGCATGTGAAACGCGCAATCGTGAATCATATGTTATTTGGTCACTCGCATTTGAATCTTGTATTCGTTTTTCTGTAAAAAAAAAAAGAATAATGATATGACAGTTTCTTAAAATTTACCTTCTCGTGAGAAGCTTTCCATCGTTTCCTCGTATTTAAAGTATTGTTAGCCTTCAAGAAAGATGAAGAAAGACAAAAGGAACTAAAATAGATTTATTCCTTAAAACTTAATTGTAAAAAAAAAACAAAAAAAAAACTTGAACGGAACATACGGTGGCCAGTACTTGTACAAACTTTAGTCTTTTGGTCTATATAAACTTTGGCAAACATATCACATCTCATCGTTTTCGTATGACCACTTGTTTGCTGTTAAATTTACTAAGAATTTAAACAATTCAAGACAAATTATAAACATTGTTTAGGTAAATACAGGAGGGAAAAACGTATATACGTCGAAATTACCATTGGATTATGATGTAATACAAATATAGATAAGTGTTAAAAACAAACAGGTTTTTATTCTTTTAATATCATATTTTTAAATTAATTTGTTAAACAAGTTTATACTGAATCAATGTTTTCAAATAACTTTACAGGTGTTCATGATATTTATATTAGGGAAGAAAGAGATATCGAAATCTAGAATTACGGTTGTAAAAATTTGATAACAATGTTTTGTAAAATCATCTATGAAAACTATTCGTTGACCTCTCCTTTGCGATTCACATCAATTCCGGCATTGTTCTGTGGCTTACTCTTGCTTGTGTTACAGATGCTGTTCTGGATTAATTTACCTGCCAAACATCAATTCAATGGAGTACGATGAATTACACAGAGTGCGTTGCTATTAATTTATACTTTAATATCGGATTAAATTGGGTATCACAAAACATTATTTAATTGATAAATATCAGCAAACACGAAAGGTCTCCTCCGATGCATGCATTTACGTTCCATGCAATGTATGTTATAGCCGGGAAACATTTTACGCTTGCGGTTAACACATATTATATAGCCATGTCACATTGTCATTCATTCCTCATACATTTTATTATGGACAGCGAGAGGGAATCATCCTCAGGTGGTTTGAAACACTTCTAATAAATAACTAACATTTAGCTTCAGACAAAACTTACCTCTGGGAATTTTTTTTTTTAATTCCGTAACCTTTTGGTTTATGCTGCCAAGTTTTGGGGTATATTTGGTTTCTTAAAAATTTCGTTATTAAGCGTATGTAATAGAGACAGTTATATATATATACAAACGTCCTGACATAAACTTAGCTGGCGACAGTAGCTACACGGTGCTTGAGTTTAGTACACCAGATTTTAGTACACATTTTTCTTCTTCTCGGTACACCAACAAGCCTACATGTAAAGTTCTTAACGGTTCCGAATGTCAAGACCTGGACTTATGAATTGCTACAAACCGACCCAGCTGTACGGGCGTGTTCCTGAAGTGGAAGACTACCACATCTGTAAAATCGCTGTGTAGCTGTATACAGATTTTCTTTATCTATTTTATTATGAAATGCCCCCTCAACTAGATCTTCAATTCTGTCAGTGAAATAATCCAAAAATTCTCCTGGATCAAAGTGAAAATACCCAGCTTTTCATAAACAGAAATTGAACAGCCAACTGAATCGAACCGCTCTGTAAACAGTTTGCATGCTGCATCCTAATCATGGCCTCTTCTTATAGAACGTCAGTGCTCTTCTTATAGAACGTCAGTGTGCTTCCACCAGTATACACTCTAGCTGTAAAATCAATATTTACTTTGAAAAAGGACCATGCTAGTGGCGATGTTCCAACAACAATGCCAATAGTATTCATACTTTTCTGGATAAGATAAGCAGTAAGTTGACAAGGATTATATGTATAATATATCTCAAGAAAAATGTACCACATGCAAAATATATACAAAACACACCCTTAAATAAACAGAACTTTCAGTAAAACCCGTAAAAACAAATTCACGACACCCTTAAGCATGACATATCTTCATCTTGCATTTGTTTTGTAATCAAATATATAACCACATTCGACGCATGTTTTCTAAAGAAACTGTTATATCAACTCTAATTAAAACGATTTTAAAAACAACTGACAATTATGTACATTGTCGGAAAATATAAAATTTTGTTGTACCAGCTTTAGAAACAGGACTTCCTATTTAGTAGCGAGTAAAAATCAATTTTCCGACTGTGTATACAAATGTTTTTAATGTTTAGTTTGTTTAATCTTTGTTTTGTATAGATATCGACATGGCTTAAACGTGGACTGCGAACAGGACCCCAAAATAAACTGTGACGTAAATTAGATCTTTAGACGAAAATGTAATTTTAACATTCATTCCCGTTTGCTTATCATGGAAGCTTGATAGCAAAAAAATATTTGTATGCCTGTCATTTGTACAGTTTAGTTGGTTGATTTTATTCTTATATTTTATTTGTTATTCAGAGTAGTTTTACATAAACAATAAATCTTTCTTAGCGTAAGATTCAACTTATCATGTCAAAATGAAGATACATGTGTTTAACCTTACCCCACACCTAGTATCACAACAGTGTTTTGATTAATTAGACGAATTGAGATAAAAGGACCAACAGGCTGACTGTTAGGTTGATTGAACCACAGAGAAGTGCTAGGCTGGGACTATTATACTAACGGGACTGGAAGCCGTTACACCAATCAGCGTAATTATACTCAACATCACGGTCAGACTTTACCTGCGCGAGATTTGTCGATTCGCCATATTGTTTTGACAGTGTCAGCGTGCCTTCATTGCGTAATTTTTGTAAGTTGTTTTTATAGCTATTTGAAATGATAATCCTGCATAACTCTTTTTAGAGTGGCTCTTATTCTATATGTGAAGTTGTAATATTATGCAAATGTTTTATAAGAGGTGAGACTCAAATAAAATATTGTCTTGTCTTGTCTTGTAAACATGATTATTATTATGATAAATGATGTCTCGATCATTGACAGTTGTAAGTAATCACCAGACCCCGCCTTTGATGTAAAAATGACATCTAAAGGTTGCAAAATTTTTAGGATGTTGAAAGCATGGAGACGCTGTGAAAAAGGGACGCTTTAGCCTTCATAAAATTTCTAAAAACTTTTGTTTGTAAAGAGATACGCAAGTTCTGTTTTTTGTTAAATCATACTTATAAGTTAAAGGTTGTACTGGCCTTATTTTTATTGTAATTTTTAGAATGAAAAGCGGAATATAAATCTCTTTTGCATTGCCACAGGAAGCCACATGCAGGGCTTAAAGAAATTATAGTGTTCCTATAAAATTGCTTACTCCTATTTCATTGCGCAATATTTGTAGTTAAATCATGTTTTTTCTTGCACAATAATGATCATCAGGTGTCATAAGCATCTTACTTCATGAAAATATGAACAATAGGTTCCAAAATCAGAACTACCAAAGAAGGCCCTTTTCACGGTTATTGCGGTCATATTGAATAGGGGCAGAATTTCATATTTTGTATGCCATCATTTTTTCCCTGTATATACTTCAAAGAGAGGGGATGCATCTCCTCGATCAGCAAATGTCCAATTATTTATATGTTCTTAGTATAGACATTAATTATGCCCTTCAATGTATCATTGTAATTTTTTTTTTCATTACAGAACCTTTCTGGAGGCTTCCCTAGTTAGATATTCAAGATGATACTGAATGCAAACAGAGGGAGAAAACTGATGAAGTAGCAGATAGTGATCAGATTTGTGGTCACAAGTTAGTATAATAGTCCCAGTGCTAGGTTACCTCAAAGTGGCATCAACTTATATCACGTGATCATATTCAAAATATCATTTGGCGGTAACAATGAAATATATGTTCATTGTTAAACATGTGGACTTTCAGACAAAGGTTGATGTTATGATCATGAATTTAGTAACTGCATGTATGTCATAAGAACATAATGAAAATTGGATAAATACCCAGTTTGATAATTTCCGTTGTCGTCAATTTAATGTATCACAAATATAAGTTGACACCTTTAATATTTAAGATAATTACCAATTATTCTATAGTTATATAAATTTTGTCATCAAACGTTTACCAAATGACTCGGAACAATAGAAACCGTATCCGATTTAACCCTTAGATTTTGGATAGCAATGACGTTAATTAGTAGCTCAATTATTATTGGATATCGTAAATCGCTGCACTGACGGGAACATGATGCATAAACACATCCGCAACCATTTAAATTATTATGAAACGCGGTTATGAATTCTTTGATTAAAGGAAGTGTATGGAAACGTGTATGCATACAAATTCTTCTGTCATGGAGATACAAAAGGCTTACAAGTACAAAATATTTAGCACTGTCGATTTGTCATCAATTGTTGATGAGTTGAAAGAATATAAAAATGAGAATCATACAAATTATGAATTTATCATTAATGTAACATCAAAGTTCATTATTCAAAATACAACGTTAATGACAATTGTATTGCATTTAAATTGACTAAAATGACCGTGACAATGAAGTTATATTTAACAAGTATTTCCGTTCTGCGGACGCCACTTTCTTATTCTTAATACAACGCGACTGCTGGCTTTACTTGTTTTCTGTAATGTTGCGGAAAATTAGAAGAAATCAAAAGAACTGTTAGTACCAGCATGCCGAAATTAAGTCAAGCAAATAATTTTCTTTTTCTATAGGAAAGAATGTACATATGAAAACATTAGATTTCATGTTTGTTGTGTGGGCATGCCGTGTCAATTAAAATTAAATTAATATTACCAAAGACAAATGCTCAACTCTACAAGTAAACGTTAGCTATTTAGACATAAAAAATACATATTATTGCCAATGCTTTCCGACAGAAGAAAATAATGTATGTATGGTAAGACGAGAGATGATGCGAAAACCTGCATAATATTCTTTAGAATTAAACAACACCTTTGATCACTAACCGCCTAATTTGGGTATAAAAGAGGGAATGTGGAGATGGAATAGTTATGTTGATCCAAGATGTGAGAATGAAGAAAAACGGTTTGATAATTTAATTTGTCATGATCAGAAAATTATTAAACTGGCACAACCTGAAAGTATAAGCGAAGGCGAATAAACATGTTTGAAAAAGGTCAGGAATAGAGCAATAATATAAAGCTCATACTCATTAACATATGTACAGTTTTCAGGTGTTAATCTGCTTTAGGAAAGTATTGATTTTGATAAATGTATTTTAGATATTTAAAGAATTGGCAAGATTATATCAATAAAAAAATCTTTGAAATTCGTTTTTTTTGCTTATAACTATGACACCTCTGTATTGGATTGTAATGAATAATATATTTTCTTAGGTTATTCTATGTAGAACGACTGTCATAAAGTTGTCACATATCTAATATTAAATTAATGTTGATGTGACTGTATTGTTATTATTCATCTTTTTCGACAGACAAAAACCAGTTGTTCTGCAAGGTATACCATATACATGCCACGAAACATCATGTACTGTGTTATAACCATATAGATAAGTTGACGAGGAAAGACATTACTCGACTAACGAAATATTAATTTTTATATAGCCTTGTTTGTCAAGTTGTCTCATTGTCGATCATAACACATCTTGTTATTTTCATATTGTTGGTCGAGTGTTCTAGTGCGCTGAGTACAATGCGGGCGGTGTTGTGAAGACGTAACAGAAGCATGCTTCTATTGCATCGTGATAACTCCACCTGCATCGTCGATACTGTGTCATGCGACTTTTGCTACTTGACACTGTAGGTTATATAAACATAATTTTTTATAGCATTCGCTAGTCGAGTCTTGCCTTTATATATAAAAAACCTTAATTCGTGAACTTTTTTTCATATTTCTTAATACACTGAACACTTACATATATAAAAAGAAACATAAATAATATAAAATTACCTACGCGGTTATGATAATTTATGCAAAACTTTTAGGCATAAGTTTCGCTAATTGCTTTTAAAAGAAACCAGAAATGACCTTTCGTAAAATCTCTAAAAGGTTGATCAGTTTTCTACTTGTTCTTATTTTTCTTCCCTTTAAAAATATCAAGATAAAATGGGAGCATACAATATGAAGGCAATAACACATCACAAGTCGGACAGGAAAACAAAAAATACAATAGTAAAAAGAAAAACAGTGTAAAAACCGACCACAGTCCACAGAACACTACACAGTAAACTAAAGACTAAAAAACTCCAGGGAAAAAAACCGTACCGCTAGGTTTCTCCTTGAATTGTTTTTTTTTTGTTTTTTTTTTATCCTGTGATCTTTTTTAACTTACGCTATGGTATGGATTTTACTAATTATCCATCGTATTCCTAGTATTTTTTTTATATAATTGTCTTATTTGCAATCATACCGCATCTCTTAAAATTCATCAGACATAATAATTATGTTGTTGACTTGTTTAAATTTTTTTGTAAATATAATAATGTTCGGCCTCCTAGCAAGAACTGTCATCGGACAGCTTCAATATGCACTGTTGGACATGTCTTGATCACCCATAACACGTATTTTAGGACGCTTCTGTTAAATAGGACCACTGACACAAAAATATTATCTGGTAACAGAGCTGTAAATGAAAACAAGAAAACACAAAGGCGTTTAAATATTACATATTTTGTTTAGATATTACATATTTTGTTTAAATATTACATATTTTGTTTAGATATTAGATATTTTGTTTAGATATTAGATATTTTGTTTAGATATTACATATTTTGTTTAAATATTACATATTTTGTTTAGATATTACATATTTTGTTTAGATATTACATATTTTGTTTAGATATTACATATTTTTTGTTTAGATATTACATATTTTTTGTTTAGATTTTACATATTTGTTTTGTTTAAATATTACATATTTTTGTTTAGATATTATTTATGTTTTTTGTTTATATATCACATATTTTTTGTTTGTTTAGATATTACGTCTTTTGTTTCCCTCTTCTATTGAACTACCTCTGTATTAACATATATTTAGTTCCAAAAGTTTTCTGGTTTCTACTGAATAGCGATTCAAACACCGCAAGAATAAATACGACGCCGTCTGATCTTTTGAGAGTTTACTAAACAAAACGGTTGATTTCAAAGATAAGTCATTTTAAGTAACAGTTTCGTGGCTGAAAAGTCTTTTATTCGGAATTTCGAACTTACATGCTGACTTCAGAATTTGGAAGCCCCAAATTTAAAAAAAGTAGATATTTGAATTTCCAAATTGATTTTTATATTTATATTCTGACATTCTTTATTTGCATCATAAATCCGCGTTTTCAATTTACCGAAGTTTCATCCTAACAGAAAAGTATTATGACGATGATGATGATGAAAACAAATAGAAAAAAGCAACGATGCGATGACCAGCTGCAAATACAAAGGCACTAAAGTCTTGTCTCAGAATTTGTTTACCTATATACATTAGTGTTATATAAAGGTATATAGGTGAACAAAATTCTGACAAAAGTGCCTGTGTGCAAAAAAGGAAGAAAAAAGAAACAACTAAAATTGACTATAGACTTTTTACTTCACCACAAATTGTTTTAGTATGTACTTAAAAAGAGTAAGAAAAACAAACTTATATCATCCTTTATCGTGACAAAGCATATTTATTTTTCATTACCATTAAAAAGACTTCAATCAGAAGAGATAACCAGACACATAGTAACCTTATTATACAGCCATGAAACAAATACACCATTTTACAGCTTTCTTGACGTTTGGACTCGAATAACAAAAACTCTATCTTTTAATCCAACCTTAAATTGATTGTTAGTTCATTAATAACTTACAACTATATGAGAGAAATTCAACTCCTAATTTAAATATACGATTTGATACTTTGTGACGAGTAAATAAACCATAGGATGTCGTAAACAACGCATAAAAGCAGGTGTTTATTACAGTCATGTGTTTGAGGATAAAACTGTTGTGCCAATAATTACAGAAATTTAATTTCATAACACTTGGGTATATATATGTATTAACACGAAAGTATTAAGGGCCACCTGCGCCTGAAGCAACTATCCTGACTATTTAATTTGGTGTAAATTTTACATGTTTCGAATGAAGAAAAACTGTATCAAATACGAGGCCATATTGTTCATATTTCAGTCAAAGTTTTATTAATTGCACAAATGGATGTGTTATTTTATCCTCTCAAAGAAAAGAAATTTTCATTTCCACGCGATATTGAAATCTGATATCTTAATATAACAAAATTATTTTAATCGATATAAATTATAACATTTAGCAGTTTTTAAACGGAAACTCAAATTAATATCAAAATCTTGTTCGAAAATGGGAATAACATAGATTTTAACATTTTTTTTTGTACTTTATGTTTTTATATAGTCTTACTAAAAAGCTTTATTTTTTCGCATTTCTACATATATTCTTTCGTGGCAAAAGATGGGAGTTGAAGTTTGTTAGTTAAAAACAGATCTATAAATTCTAATTTATTCATTTTACCATTTGAAGGATTTCTTACGTCAGCAATTACAAATAGTCATATCTATGAGGTCTTTGATCTTGTTTACTCGAATACGCCCAACCACAATAAAGAATAGAAAAACACAACATTACGTAAATATTTTTTTGAAATACTCCAGTAATCTAGATTATATTGGAATCCTCTTACTTCAGTTCTAATGTCTGCTTTAAACACGATGAAAATTGATGTTTCACATTTTATATTTCTTTTTTATTAGAAATACTCTTAAGATAATCATCGGGTATATATACATGTACATGTGAACTATTGCATCTGGAAAATTGTCTAGTCTATAATGGCCCAACCGATCATCGTCTAATTATTCCCCATTAACAGGATTATTGTTCTTTTCTGTCTTCGGAGAACTTGGTATAGTCTCTTTCGAGTACATTTAAATATATGAATGAACATAAGCAAAATTTTATAAACGTATTGAAAAATTCAATTCCTTTTATCGATAAGGACAATAATATGTACTTTTTAAGTATATTTGTGAAGGGCCACATATAGAAAATATCGATTATAGAGACCTAGGCCATAATTAACAACCAACAATTTATAGACTTTTCTGAAATAAATTACTTTATTGAGTCTTCATCTAAATCTTAACTTAACACTTGATATTGGTTACTTTCCTTTTTGGAGAGGAATGCAAATAGAAGAGTAGAGCCCTCCAGATGTCTTTTGGCTATTTTCGTAGTTGTGTTGCTGTCTCTTTTTGACGTGCATCCCACATCACTATTTTATTCATCATAAAAATAGTGACATAATTTCTATAATATAAAAGGCTCTTCTGCGAAACTAATCTCACTGCCACTTCATAAGAATTCCTATATACTAGTTAATAGTTTACAAATTAAATATTACAATGAATAGCAAAATGTTGTTGAAAAGTGCTAAGCACATCTCTTGTGGAAACAGGCACTATTTTACGCTATATACAACGTGAAACACGATGACTTACCGACTGTCACAGTGATCGTGTGATATCTAAATACTTATAAGGTAAATCAGGCATATTTTATTACTTATAGTATCGTCGCGTTTGTTGTCAATTGAACATTGCTATGAAACCCTGTAATTTCAAGACACTGTTAACAAAACATTGTAGTTCGATTCCTATAATTATCTTAAATATTCCGAATGGTCAGTGCAATAACAATTTCGAATGACCACAGATGCAAACATAATTATTACCTAGATTTTCCATCAGACGCTTCATCTGACATTGTAGGACCTCTTTGGGTGGCAAGATTGAAGGAAGGGTCTTGTAACCGGACATTTTATTGCATATTTATCGTTAGCATTTATTTCATCTTGATTATCATCCTATCGTGAAGTATTCCTCTTATGGACAAAAATTTCTCACGAAGACAGTTATGGTTGTTTAATGGCAAAGTAATTTTGCATTGTGAACTGTCCGTACTACCGATACACTGAAGTCTGTTATTGAGTACTTTGTGTCTTAAATAGTTATTTTATTGCACATCTTGTCCTATTATTTAGAATTAAACCAATAATTAGAGTTTAAGGTTGATTTCTATCGTCAAGAGAAAATTACGAAAATATTACTCATTGACCAATTACAAAATTTTATGGTAAAGGTGTTTTTATTTTGCTGCCAGGTAACCAACACCTGTATAACATCAATGGTATCATTTTGTCGTACAGTATTGTCAGATTTAACATTTGGCAAAATAAGATGTTACAAACATATTATTTGTAATTAAATGTAAACTGTAGATGATTGAGAGAAAAAAAAATATTACAATGGGAGGTATCAACCAATTGTACACAAAAAATGTCACGTATGTACAGCCATAGATGCATCGAAGGACTAAATAATATCAACAATCATATAAATGAAGATACTGAAATAAATAAACATATAAAATATATT